TTTGGTTGAGGGTTTTTAGGTCTTATCACATATAAGCATGCATTTTAATCACATTAAAACAATTTGGTCCTATCACAACTATTGGTTCATGTGATTAATTTAGTAGTATATGATACTCCTACTGTTTGCAAAACGATTTTTAAAGCAAGAGTATATGGTACTACTAACATAAGCTTTGCATTCATTGATGGACTATATAGTTGCCTTAGGGCCTTAGGATGACTATAAACCTTCGATTTGATTCAACATGAGCCTAGAGTTGGATCTTGGTCTAGGGATGGTGATTGATTTTAGTTGTGCGTTTAATCACATTAAGGAGTGTTTTTCCTATTGGGCGTTGGACCCAATTACTCCAATTTTATGCATATCAAATAAAACAAGAAATGAGTACTTTAAAGTAAAGAAGAGCTTATGCTCATTTACAACATTTGATCAAATCAAATTACAACCAAAATCTTATCTACACATTTCCATGGTTCAAACAAATTTGAGAGACAGCCAATCACATAGCTCAATTATCATAAGCTTAGGTTCATAATCACCCTCTTTTTAATTAATTAACAATATACGTAATTAAAGTAGAATGCAACAACGTTATTTGATTTTTTTATCCATAGAATTGATTTAAATGGAGCTAAATGAAATGAAAATCCAATTCTCATTTAAAGACACAAAACTATTTTTTCTCAACCTAATTTGGGCCAAAGTGCTATAACTTGAACTTTTGGGCTATATTGCAGAACACAAACTTTTGGGGTCACTTTGTAAAAACACAAAAGTCCACTACTTCATATAATTACAACTAGAACCCAAAAATTTCAACAAATACAAAAACTTCATTAAAGGAGCAAAACAAGTTGTTTTTCCAGTGATTTTGGGCCTTTATGTAAAAACATAAACTTTCGGGCCAAAGTGCAAATACACAAAAGTATCAAAACTTTATGTAATTGCATAAAAGCCTTTATAGGGGTGGCCGATTTTGTAGTGAGAGAAAGGTATCAAAAACATTTTGTAAGTTTCAAAAAACAAAAGGTGAAGTCCATGAAACATGGAAATTTTTTTATATGAATAGTGATATGAATAGTGCAAATCATCTCGCATCAACTATTACAAACAAATTTTAAATAAATTCAAGAAAATTTTTCAATCAAACACCCAAAACTTTATGTTCTTGTTATGAACATGAAGAACATATCAACATTGAAGAACATCCATGAAAAACCCATAAGAGTTCCATAAACATTTTTCACCTAAAGACACCCCAAAACCTCTCAAACTTGAGGGAAATAACATATTACCATACTAGGGTACTTAGAGGTTCCTCAAGTCACTTTAAAACCATTTTAACAAGACAAACAAGAACCCAAAAAATGCACCCATGGATTTGGCCGAATTTCTCCAAACATAAGGCACCAAATTTTAGCTCCAAAATTCATGCTCATATGAACTCTACATCTACAACATTTGAGATGGTGAATTTCAAACAAAATTTACGTTCAAAGAAGCAAGAACATGCTTGTAACCATTACAACATTCAAATCAAAGACTATGAACAACAAAACCCAAACGGTTCACCAATTACTAGACCTACGCTCTTGATACCACATGAAGAAAAATTTATAAAAAACTGAGTTCTTTAAGCAACATAATACATGCATTTAACGATTAAATGGCCGAAGCATGTTCTATGCACTTTAAAACAAAACTTAAACCATGAAATTCAAAGCCTAGTAGTTGTTGAGATTACTTTATACCTTTGAAGCACCTCTTTGCTTAGCAAAGGTTAATCACCCATGTGAGGGCCTTATTTCATTTGTCTACTTGCTCCTTGGCTCCATGGATATGGATGGAAGAATTGGTTCCCCAAAAGTCCCTAAGGTAGGAGACCTCTAATTTTCGAGACCAAGGATGGTGAAGGAAGAAGATGAGTGACACTGGAAGAGTTTGATGCTACTAAACCCTCCCAATGGGGCCAACCTCCTGAGAGAAAGAGAGAGCTTGTGTTCTCTCATCCTTCCTCAAAGAAACCCCTAAAATGAAGAAAAGGCTATAGAGATACTTTTATACCTACCTTCAATGGAGTGGCAAACATGTAATAAGTCAAAAACCATTACCTCTCTAAGCATGGCTAGCCTCTGTATTGTTAGTGGGTTAATTGCCCATTTTATTTTCTTTGTCACACAACTTAAACCTTATGTGCACTGTGGACCAAAACCCTTTTGAGTCCCAAAACCCAAAACTAACTTAAGGCCTAAAACGAACCTTTCATTCTTGATTAACTAACTTTTAATTAATCCTTTCCATATAAAGTTAAACTATTTAATTGTCCTTACTCATCTTCGTTATTTCCTTCAATCATTACCTTACACGATGTGTGATCCATTAGGAACCTTTTAGCGAGGCAGCGGGCAATTAGAACTCTTAGTAATCGATTATGAATTGAAACTTACTTTCAATTCTCCCTTAAGTGATTATACACCTCTAGGGCTTCCACAAGCCATGAGTGACACCTAGCAGTATGTCATGGCTACCCAAGATAATCAGACAAGGTTGGAGAACCTATTCAGCGTGGGATTACAACGCAATATGGTCTTTCTCTAATACAATACTCTTGACCACATTGTTTGGTTTGATACTTTATTCATGTCTATTATCCAATGTGATCCTCTTACTTATATAATTACCTTGAACGACTACCTAAATCTCATTCATACTTCGGCCAAAGATTCTTAATCATATCATAAAATATTCTCCCTCAATGGTTTGAAGATTAGAGATCCCTTGTTGTGCATTCACCTACCTCTATAGTTAAGTGGCTTAACCCTAACTATGTCGTGGATACTCTCTGATGGAATTCCTTTGATACATTCAAAAGATCAAGGACCTAACCACAAGACAACTATGATGCCTTAGGTCAAAGGACTACTTTGCATTATCCTAACCTTGAGTTCTCATGTGACATGAGTATGAGAACTCATTGTTGATTGCGTTCAGTAGACTCACTTTCTATTGAGCACCTACATACTTGCCTTGGTGTAAGTCGCACCAATGACTCAAGACCAGTCACTCTCCCTGAGAGAATACATAGCATGTATTGATCTTAACGAATCGTCAATGCCTAATCGGCAATCCTATGATCCGGAACGTTTAGGATATGTGTACGAAAGAGAATAGTCTCATGAATCTAACTTCTTTAGATCACATTCCCCAAATTACATATTCCTTAGACTTATTGTTCAAGCATATAACATTTATATGAAACGGCTTTTAAACAATAATTTTTGCCCTTATATTAAACTAGATTAGTTTAACATGTGAAATGTCTGTAAAGTATCATCATATGATTGGATTTAGGGCACATTTTTAACAGCTTCTAGATGTGATGGTACACCAAGTACATGTTAGTTAAGATACCCACCAAACTTTCGAATCAATCGATGGAATGAGCCAGCAATTTTGAAAACCACCTCATGTCGATCCCCTCTAGATAGAAGGGAACATCTTACACATACAAGTGTCATTGTCGTTGTATAATAGGCGTTCTTATAGTGCATGATGTGATGGTCAGGTCTAATTAGCTTAGAAGTATTTGATCCTAGGCTAAGAAAACTTATTTGGCAGGGGCATGGATTTGATTGTCGAGGAAAGTGGGCTTCTAACTTTCATGATAGCTCATCTAGGGATACAAGGTGGATTTTCCCTTAAGGGATCCTTGGTCCTGTCACCATTTGCGTGTCAGTGTCTTTCGGGCTCCTTCGAGGACTCTAAGTCATAAAAGCTCAGGTGTCGTGGTTTCATCCAAGGCACTCTTTAAGTTTTCAAAGAATTAGGGTCACGTGGGACCTGCATCCCATCAGCAATGGTGCAATTAGCAATTTTTCCATCATGAGGTAAGTTCATACTCAAATCAATGATGTTTGTTGGAGTCGAAGTAAATGTTGGCTTAATAGGTTTTGTCAAGAGTTATGGTACTTATGTTGCCATAACTAAAGATGAGGATATGAGTTTGCGGCTTGATCATGTTAGAACTCTTTAGGTCTTTCATTATTTTCTCCACGTCCATGAAGTTTGCGTGGTTTCTGCACGAGAAGCAGTATAGGCCTGCTGCAACTTATGAACAGAAGCATTGACCTTCAGTAAAGTATCCTATACCTGTTTCATATTGAGAGGGGATCTAGTAGCCGAAGCCTCGCCGCTCTCTAGGGTGGTTGCAACATCAGAAGTTTAGTTTCTTTGAATGGTGGTGGTGTTGAGAATAGGATTATTTTAGATCAATGTGACGGAGACGTTTAGGGTAGAAGTGTTATCGAGCATCTTGTTAGCGTTAGCATTAATATAGCTTTCTTTTGTGTTCATGTTTGTAGCAGAGTGATCTAGTCAAGAGAAATATGAGTTCACTCTCAATGAAATCACCAAATATTGAACCAAAATTTTCACACCACCATTGGTGGTGGAAATGCACAAATCCAAGTACCTGTAAAAGAACAACCATAAGCAAGCTAAAGACCAGGGGTTGTGTCGGTCAAATGCTCTTTGACTGTCATGTTAGTAAGCTAATTAAGACTTAAGCGTGCAAGAGAATAAGTATGGAAGAATTGTGTTACCAGATATCAACCCTACAAGGGTGTATTTATACCAGCTGAGGAGTCAACCTTTTAGGATAGTTGAATAATTATTAAACTGTGAGAATCCCAGAGGATATCTAAGAAGTCGATATTGCAACCTTTTACGAGTGTGGTAATTTGTGGCATACGCAATTCGTAGATTGTAAGGACTCTAAGATTATAGAAAACCTATTGATTCCTTGTAGGATTAGGTTTTCATATCTTACATAACAAGTAGGGTCCATCTCAGCTCACTGATTTTGGAATAGGATGACGGTGGCATTACTGCTCTATTTATTCAGCTCCGCAGCAAAGGTTGTTGCCATGTCCAGACTTGTAAGGTATGTGTATTCCAATCCACCTTACTTCGGCCCTGGAAAATCATGGTCCCACACTTATTTAGTGTATTTTAAACTAATACATTTGTTTTTTTGTATATTTCAAGTCAACTTCAAGATCGACATGGAATGTTAGGTATGTTCAAGTATATAAACCGGGTAAAGACTGAGCAGTAAAAAGAGTGGGAGTACGAGCTACACGTATAGTACCAAACTTATGCATCTTCTACTGAAGCTCTAATCAGTCCACCCCCGGAGTTTGTGAAAAGATAAACGAGTGGCACTGGCTCTGCGGTCATTTTTTGAGCTCGAAATTTCTGGTAGTTTTTTTAAATTTCATTTCAATTTTCAATTTTTTTTTAATTTAAATTTTTGAATTTAATTAATTTTTTTATCCACAACAAAAACAGAAGCTAAATAGGGTAACTCGGAAGCGAAGCAGTACCTCCATCATTCTAGCTTTCGGGCCCTCACTTTTAGGGTCAAAGGACGGCTTGAGACACATTTTTTTATGGAAACCAGATTGTTGACGACATTTATGTAAGTATTCCGTTCAAAAATTTAATTTTAAGTTTCATTACACTTCAAAAAAATTAAAATTATGATTGGTAATTTTAATTGGTTTCCTTCTTTTTTTTTTGCAGGCTTCTATTTCACAAAAGCATGACGAGTGTCTCGCCAAACTCTCCTAGCAGCAATCAGACTCACCTACGGAGCAACTAACACCTGATCTAAATGTTTCTACAGTTGCTAATGGACGAGGTTAGGCTATGGACAGGCTGAGAGCTTTGTGGTCTAGGAGCGAGTCAGGTTCGAAACGTTTGTGCGACAACCGTTGCCTGACTAAATTTTTTGACAAATTTCTATCGAGTGAAAATTTAGGTGACTGAACCTTTATTTTGCCCGATCAAATCCTTTCAACTGGACATGGCTTTTTTTTATTTTTGTAGTGATACACAATCTCCTATTTGACTGCATACAAATAGATAGACCGGGTCATCCTTTTTATGTTTGTAAGGATGATCTTTAAATGAAGAATAAGAATTGACAGTTTGTATTACATAATTTATATGGTAGTTGGATGTTATCTGCAACGGATGGTGGGACATGTTCACTTCCATGGGGGTATGCAAAGATTATTCTCTAGAATTATATTCAATATTCAAGGAACAGAAACCTAATTGCTAGTTTAACGTACTCCTACCAAAATGAAGGCAATAATCACAAGAGTGTTTCTCGTGGATGGTGAATTTGATACCGAATTAGGCTACTTATTGTATGGCTTAGCCGAAATTCCCCTCTCCTTAGCGTAAACATATCGATGTACAAAAAAAAAAAATCACAAGAGTGTTACTATGCCCACTCCATAGTCTTATATCCTCACCCACTTTTTAGTGAAAATTTTAATATCAAAATTAACCTTAATCAAAATTAATACTCTTATATATTCTTTGTAGACAAAGAAAAAATAAATAGAAAAATAATTTAAAAAATAAAAATGAGCAACGAATCAAACCTCCCCATTTTCTCCCTTCATCCTTCATCCTTCACCCTTCACCCCTGTCTAGTCTCTTTCGTTCTCCTCCATCTTCTCTATCTTCCGTCCACCCGACCCACACCAAATTATATCTCTTCTTTTCTTCCTACTTTTCAACCCCTAAATATGAATTGGAATTCGGGAATAAATGTGGACATAAATCCGGCAAGGGGAGAAAGAAAGAGATAGAGAGGAACAGAGAAAGGAAGGTAACTTTTCTAGCGTCAAAGAGAAAAGGAGCTACGTTCGTCATAAGTAGTGCCTGGTTGTAGTTGCTTTCAGTTAGGTTGGACGAGGACGTTTGTGGTTGTTCCATTTTCCTAAAATATCCAAACTTCAATCATTTTTTATATTTATTTTAGTTAGATTTTAAAACTGTTAGGGATGTTTTAGGAATATAAGTGGGTGTGAAGATAGTGTTTGATTTTCTATACTTTTTATGGTGGGTGAGAATATAAGGCCATCTCCAACCGTCCTAGCCCTGCCTATAAGGCTAAAAATAGTCTGTTTTGACACAAAAATCATCTCCAACCGAGGGTTATGCCAAAGGCCTTGTGGATCCCACCCGGCCAAAAATCTCAAAACAGGTCAACAAGTTAGCCAAGATCAGCCAGCTAGCTGATAGGAGCATATTTTTGCGACTTAGTTAGCTTGTTCTTGTGCATTTATGTTGTTATTTCTTAGTCAGTTTTGTATTTTAAGCTATTTTCGTGTGTTTGTAGGTCCTAATAACAAAGTTGGCAAGAAAATGCATTTTGGTGCATTTTGGAGCAATTTTGGGCTGAAATGGATTGCATGCATATGGAGCAAGTTGGATGGACATTTTTGGTGTTTTAAAAAGGGTTTCAACATATGCAAAACCCTAAATAATGAAGTTGAAGTGTGGAAGTGTGCAGATACATACACTTAAGGAACAATTTGAAAGGAAAAGAAGTAAAAGATGCCATTTGTTGAAAAGTACTTCTTGCAGTTGTTTTTGCTTTAGATAAATTTTGTTCATACTTACTTGGCACTAAAGTGATTGTATATTCTGACCATGTAGCTTTAAAGTATCTTCTCACCAAGAAGGAGGCCAAACCAAAACTGATTCGTTGGATGCTCCTACTTCAAGAGTTCAACATTGAAATTAGAGACAAAAAGGGGAGTGAAAACGTAGTGGCTGACCACCTCAGCCGTTTGGTGCACATTGAGGACTCCTTACCCATTCTAGAGACATTCCTTACCGAGCAATTGCTGTCCTTAGAGGTAAGTGAGCCCTGGTATGCTGATTTGGTCAATTATTTGGTCACAAAACAAGTTCCTAGCAGTCTAGATAAATACAAGCATGATAAACTCAGAAATGATGCACGATTTTATGTGTGGGATGATCCATATTTGTGGAAGTATTGTCCTGACCAGATTATTCGTAGATGTATGCACAATTCTGAGTTTAATTCAATTCTTGCATTCTGCCATAGTTATGGTTGTGGGGGTCATTTTGGCACCCAAAGGACGGCCCTTAAGGTTTTAGAGAGTGGTTTCTATTGGCCTACATTGTTTAAGGATGCTAGAATGTTTTGCATAACTTGTGATAGATGCCAAAGAACAGGTACAATAGGTGCCAAGGACCAAATGCCGCAAACCCCCATCTTTAATGTGGAGATCTTTGATGTATGGGGTATAGATTTCATGGGACCCTTTCCGTCCTCATATGGTTTTACTTATATTTTGCTAGCCGTTGATTATGTGTCGAAATTGGTGGAAGCCAAAGCCACCTGTACTAACGATTCTAGAGTCATGGCAGATTTTATCAAGGCTAACATCTTTTCCGATTTTGGCATGCCGAGGGTGTTCATAAGCGATGGAGGCACCCACTTTTGCAATCGCACCATTGAGGCGCTGTTTAAAAAGTACAATGTCAAGCATCGGGTTTCCACACCATACCACCCTCAAACAAGTGGCCAAGCCGAAGTTTCGAATAGAGAAATCAAGCAAATCTTGGTAAGGACTGTTGGGCCAACCCGGAAGGATTGGAGCTTGCGTTTCGACAATGCACTGTGGGCATATCGTACAACCTACAAAACACCTTTAGGGATGTCTCCATTTTGACTAATCTATGACAAGCCGTGTCACCTACCTGTGGAACTAGAGCACAAGGCGCATTGGGCTGTGAAAACATTCAATTTGGACTTAGATGCTGCTGGAATGAATAGAAAGCTCCAATTGAATGAACTTGAGGAGATAAGGAACAAAGCCTATGAGAATGCATGAATTTACAAGGAGAAAAACATGAAGGATGATTTTGTTAAAACATGTTCATTTGAATAACATCTATATCATGCATTTAACAATTAAAAGGCGGAATCATGCTTGCATGCATTCAAAAACAAAACATTAACCATGAAATTCAAAGCCTAGTAGATTGGTGAACAAAGACTCAACTCAAAACAAAGTGAGTTGAAATTTATACCTTTATAGATTCCTCTTTGCATAAGCAAAGGCTAATCACCCAAAGAGAGGGCCTTCATTCCTTGCTTCTTAGATCCATGGGATTTGGATGGAAGAATATGGTTCTCCAAGTTCCTAAAATTAAGAACCTCTAAGTCTCCACACCAAGGTTAGATTTAAGTAGAAATGAGTGACCTTGGAGGAGTGGGATTGCTAGATACACCCTCCAAGGGGGCCGGCCTCCTGGAGAGAAAAGGAGAGACATGTTCTCTCCAATTTTTTCCAAAAGAACCCATAATGAATTTTAGGCTATAAAGTTCTTTATATAGTCACTTCTTTAAATGACTTAAGAACCAAAAACCCTAATTCAACACACATGGCCGGCCACATAAGGGATTTGGGCTTTTGGGCCTTTGTGAATCTTTATTCATTAAATTGTCATACAACTTAAGTCAATGGGCTTGACGTTCGAAGCCCATTGGGCTTTAAGGTCCAAAACTATCCCGAGGTCTTTAACGAACTTATTCGTTTGATTAATTAACATATTAATTAATCCTTGCCATAAATAATTAAACCATTTAATTATTCTTACTCATCTCCATTGTTTCTTCAATCTCCACCTTACACGGTGTACGATCCATTAGGTTCCTTTTAGCGAGGCAGTGGGCGATTAGAACTCTTTCAAATCGATTGTGAATTAAAACTTACTTTCAATTCTCCCTTTAGTGATTATACACGTTTAGGGCTTTCACAAACCAAGAGTGACACCTAGCAGCATATCATGGTTACCCAAGCTAATCAGAAGAGGTGGAGAACCTATTCAGTTTAGGATTACAAATGCAATATGGTCTTTCTCTAATACAATACTCTTGACCACATTGTTTGGTTTGATAGTTTATTCATGTCTACTATCCAATGTGATTCGTGTGCTTATATGATTACCTTGAATGTGATTTGGAACGACTTTTCTAAATCTCATTCATACTCTGGCCAGAGATTCTAAATCATATCATAGAGTATTCTTCCCCAAACGGTTTGAAGGTTAGAGATCCCTTGTTGCGCATTCACTTGCCTCCATAGCTAAGTGGCTTAACCCCAACGATGCCATGGACACCTGCGGATGGGGTGACCTTGACATAATCAAAGATCAAGGACTTAACCACAAGACAAACGTGATGCCTCAGGTCAAAGGACTACTTTGCATTATCCCAACCGTGAGTTCTCATGTGACATGAATATGAGAACTCTTCGTTGATCGTGTTCAGTGAACTCATTCTCTATTGAGCACCAACGTACTTGTCTTGATGTCACACACACCAATGACTCGAGACTAGTCACTCTCCCTGAGAGAATACACAGCACGTACTGATCTTAACGGACTGTCAATGCCCAATTGGCAATCCTATGATCAGGAACGTTTAGGATGTGTCTACGAAAGAATGGTCTCATGAATCTAACTTCTTTAGATCGCATTCTCCCAATCACATATTCCTTGGACTTATCGTTTAAGCATATAACATTTATATGAGACGGCTCAAACAATAATCTTTGCCCTTGATATTAAACTAGATTAGTTTAACATGTGAAATGTCCGTAAAGTATCATCATATGATTGGTTTTAGGGCACATTTCCAACAAACATTCTCAATTGGATAGAAAGTGCTGCTATTCAATTCTCATCTACGTTTGTTCCCTAGTAAGTTACGTTCTAAGTAGATTGGGCCATTTGTTGTTACTAATGTTTTTCCCCATAGTGCAGTCCAAGTTAAAAG